GTGGTGCTCATCGGATCAACCATGTGAATCAAGAATCAAAGTTATCCTTCTTTATTGATTATTTGGTTTAGAGATTTTTTGTTGCGTATTGTTTAGTTCTCACGTGGTGCCTATCCGATCAACCTTGTGAATCAAGAAACCAAAGTATCCTCCTATACATATCATTTTCATCTCTATTCTTCCACCAAATTCCGCATATTTCAATTTCTTTATTGATATTTTTTTTGTGTTGTGTAATTTTATTTTTTGAAAAGTGATATATAATTTTATTTTTGGAAAAATAATACTCCATTCATCCGCCTTTAAGAGTCACATTTACTTTTTACATCATTGTACTTAACATTAAAAATATGCTTATATTTGTATAATTTTTTGTACAAATGTCCTTCTATTAGTATTATAAGACACTAATGAAATTATTTTTGCAATTTTTTCTTAATTTGTACTACGTTTTGATATAATAATTAATATTTAAGGATCAACACACAAAAAGTAAATGGGACCTTTAGAGCCGACGGAGGTAGTATGTATTTTTATTTTTGAAACATAACTTATAATTTTATTTTTTAAAAAAGTGATATGTAATTATATTTATTAAAAAATAATATATAATTTTATTTTTCAAAAAATATATATAAACAGGCCCGCCCTGGGACAATTTAGGGCCCTTGCCCAGGGCCCATCTTCAAAGTGGGCCCAAGTGCCCCCAATAGTCATATCTAAGAACACTAATATATGAGAATGTGTAAGCATGACTACATGAATTATCTTATCTACCTTTGGTTTTTATAGGTGGAAGTAGGTGTTGTTCTTTTGCCTAGCTATGCGAAGTGGTAATATTGTGGAGAAGTATGTCTAAATTTGTCAAATACCACCGCATAGTCAGTTTTACTGACGATATTGAGCGTTATTGAGAATTGTGCTTTTCCAATCCAATTAGCTATTTTGTAGTAATTTACTTTTAGAAATATATTGATATAGATATCATTTTGTATAGATTATAATATTTTCTTTAATACAATAAGTTAGTTAGAAAATTCTAATGCTATGATTTAGAAATAAATGCAGGGATTTTCGAGTTTGTTGGACACGCAAAACAAAACAAAAAAATTGAGTCAGTGTAACTTTGAACTCACCCATTGCTTGTAGAGAAGTGCGAAATGGGGCTGGCCTGTTTTGTATCACCAACCGAGATGGAGTTTCATTCGAATTTATTTTTCATTGGTAATTGTTGTAAGCATCCTTATGCACAACTATAGGGTTTGTTGGGCATGTAAAACAAAAAAAAAAAAATAGCATCGATGATGTTTGTGAGAATTGGGTGTGATTGTAATAAGATAATGTAATTCAAGAATTACTTATTGTCTACAACCATTCGACATGGGTGACCGATTGTTTGCAAAAAAAAAAAATGCTTGAAACGGCGGTTCAACAAATTTTTCTTTTTTTTATTTATTTTAAATCAGGCATTCACCGCGACACCGCGGAACAGGAGAACTAAAGTAGGTGGAGAAGAAAGAAGATGAGAAAAAAAAGAAGCACAATGACCCATGGGAAAAAAATAAAGAAATTGGGAAGAAGAAGGGGAAAGAAGAGAACCTGGTGTGACTATGGCCTGCGATGTGTAATATGTAAATGAATTTATTAGGAAAAAATTGTGTATTTTTATAATAATAATAATAATATATTTTTAATCATTTTTTTTTATATATTATCAAATTTTCTTAAAATAGAAATAATATTAATATTAATAAAAATAAACAATTATTATTGATAACTCAAGAATCACTCATTGGACATCTCTTTCATGAGAATTTTGATTTGGTTAAAAAAAAGAATTTTGCATGGATCACCGATTGTCTGCAACCATCCATGAAGGAGAAGAAAATAATGCTCCATGGATCACCGATTGACAGCAGCCATCCGTGAAGGAGAATGAAAGAAGCATGGATCACCGATTGTCTGCAATCATCTACGAAGGAGAATGAAAAAATGCTTCATGGATCATCGATTGGCGCCATCCGTGAAGGATGTACTTCGAGAACCACTTATTGTCTTCAACCATCCGACACGAATAATCGATTGTTTGCATAAAAAATTGGTTGAACCGCCGGTTCAACCAAATTTTTTATTATTATTATTTTAAATCAGGTTGTCACCACGACACCGCGGCACAAGAGCATTAGAGTAGGTGAAGAAGAAAAAGAAAAGGAAAGAATAAGTAGGATGACCCATGGGAAAGAAAGGAAAAAATAGGGAAGAAGAAGAAGAAAAAGGAAAACTAGTGCTTCTGTGGTCACTGCAATGTGTAAGTGTGTAAATGAATTGATTCGGACAAGATTGTGTATTTTATATAAAAATATATTTATAATTTATTTTTTTATATATATTATCAATTTTTCTTAAAAATAGAAATAATATTAATGTTAATAAAAATAAATAATTATTAGTGATAACTCAAAATCACGCCGTAGACATCTCTTCTATAAGAATTTTGATCTGATTGAAGGAAAGAATGTTGCATGGATCACCGATTGTTTGGAGCCATCCGTAAAGGAGAAGGAAAGAATGCTTCGTGTATCACCGATTGCTGCAGCCATCTATGAATAAGAAAGAATGCTCCATGATCACTGATTGGTTACAACCATCCGTGAAGAAGAATAAAAAAAATATGGATCACAAATTGTCTGCAACCATCCGTGATGGAGAAGGAGAGAATGCTCAATAGATTTCTGATTGTTTTGGCTGCGCCAAAGGATAATGAAAGAATGCTCCATGGATCACCGATTGTCTGTAGCCATCCGAGAAGAAGGAAAGAATGTTTCATGGATCACCGATTGTTATCTACAACCATCGGTGAAGAAAAAAACGCGGATGACCGATTGTTTGCAAAATTGGCTGCGATTTTGCCAATTATTTTTTTTATTTTATTTTAAATCATGCCGTCACTACGGCACCGCATCGCAGACGTTCTATAGCAGAGTAGGTGAAAAAAAAAAGAAAGAGGAGGTTGAAAGAAGAAGAAGCAGGATGACCCACGAGAAAGAAAGAAAAGATTGATAATAAAGAATAAGAAAGAGGAGAACTGATGCGTCTTTGGCTATGGGATGCGTAATTGTGTTAGTAAATTCATTAGAATAAAATTGTATATTTTATAATAATAATAATATATATAATATATATATATTTTTTTATATATTATCAATTTTTTTAAAAAATAAAGAATAATATTAATATTTATAAAAATAAATAATTGTTAATAATATTGAAAAATAATAATATTATAATATTCTTTTTTATTTTTATTTTCAATTTTATAATTTTTTTTATATAATCGTATTTAATTTAAATTATCTTATTATCTAATACTATATCAATATTTCTATAATTTATTTTTATTAAAATTTTAATTTAAAAATTAATTTAATTACTTACTAAATTTATTAATTTATTAATTTAATTATTTTTATATTGTAATAATTTAAGTAATTACTTTTTTATATAATAAACAAATAACAAATTTAAAATTGAAATTAAATATTTTAAAATATAATTCAAATTAAAAAAATAGAAAATAAAAAATATATATTAAAAATGAATATATATAAACTAATAGCTCAAATCATAATCGGCAGTTTTTAAACCATAATTGAAATTATCAAACTGTAATCGAAACTGTCATTTAGAATGTTCGATTTCGGTTTGATATTTTGGCAAATCGTAATTGACGGTTTGAACCAGTTGGGCAAATCTATTAGGCATATCTACCGTCGTTTTTTACTTTGATCTTATTATTTTTGCAGGTATTATATATCCTTGCTTTATATTGAAAGTAAAATATGAATTAACATTCTAATTTCAAACCAAACAAACTGTTAGAATATAATATTAAAATTGTTTATGTTTATTTTCGGATTTAATAATATAATATCAAAATGATTCGTTTTGTATTTTTTTTTGAATTTAATATTATAATATCAATTCTTTTTTTTTATTTTTAACTGTATGGATTATTTTTATTTTATTTTAATTAAAAATATTCAATAGTTCGACTATATAAAAAATTATAAATAATGTATATATATATAAAGTATCGACGGAGCTCGTCAAAAGAGTATTAATATATAAATAAATAAATGATAGTATTATAAATTTATTTTAAAATATATTTAATATTTTAAAATAAAATAAATTATTTTTATTTAATTTTTTTTAATTAATTCACTAATTATGTATTTATTTTATTTTTAGTGTGTTTAAAATTTATTATTTTTGATATTTTTATTGTGAAATATGAAATTTTGTCAAGTTATCATATAGTAAATGATATTTTATATATGTTTGCTACTTTTATTTTATTGTGTATGTATATTTAATATTTTGTATTATATTTATTTATTTTTAAAAAATAGTGTATTTTATAATATTAAACAATTTACTGTTTAGGAATTTTTTTATTTAATCTATAATTATATTATTTATTTAAAGTAAATAATTTTTTCATTTTAAATTTTTATTAATTTCAAAATACACAAAAATATTACGGAATACAAAATAAGCTATTTGGATGCTTTTATTTAATAATTTTTTTGACACATTTAAGATTAATATTATCATAAATGCAATATATACATATATGCTCACACAATATATATAAATATATTCTATCAATCGAAAAAAATTATAATTTAATAAAAATATTATTTTTTATATTATTGAATAAACACACTTTTTTTATTTTAATATTTTGATATATAAAAAAATAATAAATATTATCATAATTTACTATAATAATTTAATAATCTACACTACTAAAATACCATATCTCTAACAAAATGGTTCATCTTTAGTGGGATAGAGGAAGTATAATATATAAGAAATATTTTAATTAAAATTTATAGTAAAAATAAAATTATTTGAAGTAATGTATTGGAAATAGCCTAATATAGTAAATAAAACGAAATCATATCACTTATTTATATAAATGTGGCAACGCAGCATTTTGTGAGATTGGAAAGGCAGAGGCTGAAGTGAATTCCGAATGTACCCAGTTCAAACCGGTCCGCAAACTCTCCAATCTCCTGTGGCCCCAACCTCCTTCCCCCTTCGGCGCCGCCGTGGCCCTGCCGCCGTCCATCATTCTCACTCTTCCGTCTCCAAGGCCGACAGGAATCCTCTAATCCAATCTCTCTGCAAGAAGGGCCAGCTAAAACCCGCTATCCACTATCTGTCCCTGGAGCAGAACCCTACCCAGCACACATACGAGATTCTGCTGCAATCCTGTGTGCAACATAAGAGTCTGTTGGATGCCTTCGACGTCCACAGGAAGCTCATTGATGATGGATTCGACCAGGATCCTTTCTTGGCGACAAAGCTCATCAATGCGTATTCGGAGCTCGACTCCCTACAGCACGCCCGCCAAGTGTTCGACGAATTGCCGCGCAGAACCATATATGTCTGGAACGCAATTTTTCGTGCCCTCTGTCTCTCCGGGTATGGCGAAGAGGTTCTGAGTCTGTACAGGAGAATGAACAGAATTGGTATGCCTTCAGATAGATTCACCTACACGTATGCGCTTAAAGCGTGCGTTGTTTTGGACTCGGACTCGCTTCTTCGTGCGCTGGGCTGGGGTAAGGAAATTCACGCCCATGTTCTACGCCATGGTTACGAAAGCCATATCCACATCATGACTACTTTGGTAGATATGTACGGGAAATTTGGGTACGTGGAGAGTGCCAGCCGTATATTTTCCGCAATGCCTGTGAAGAATCTGGTTTCCTGGACTGCAATGATTGCCTGTTTTGCCAAGAACAGCCGGGCTTTTGAAGCGCTAGAGCTTTTCCACCGGATGATACTCGAAAGTGAGGAGGATATGTTGCCTAACTCTGTGACTATGGTCAGTGTGCTTCAAGCTTGCGCAGCCCTGTCTGCGTTGGAGCAGGGGAAGTTGATTCATGGATATATACTCAGGAAAGGCCTCGATTCGATTTTACCGGTTATGAGTGCCCTTATTACAATGTATGCTAGGTGTGGTAAACTAGATTTGGGGGAAAGGGTTTTCGCTCAAATGGATAAAAGGGATATTGTTGCGTGGAATTCCATGATTTCGGGTTATGGAATTCATGGCTTAGGATTGAAAGCTATTGCAGTTTTTCAAGAGATGGTGCGGCAAGGTGTGTCGCCTAATTCAATATCATTTATTAGTGTTTTGGGAGCTTGTAGTCATTCGGGACTTGTTGAAGAGGGAAAATCTTTATTTGATTCTATGGTGAAAGTGCATGGAATTCGTCCTAGTGTGGAGCATTATGCTTGTATGGTTGATCTTCTTGGCAGAGCTAATAGATTCGATGAAGCAGTTAAGCTCATAGCAGATTTGCGGGACGAACCAGGACCTAAGGTTTGGGGGTCCCTTCTTGGATCGTGCAGAATCCACTGCAATGTTGAACTTGCTGAGAGAGCGAGCCAGAGGCTTTTCGAACTGGAACCAAAAAACGCTGGGAATTATGTTCTTCTAGCCGACATTTACGCAGAAGCAAGAAAATGGGATGAAGTCAAAAGAGTGAAGAAGGTTTTGGATGCCAAGGGCCTGCAGAAGGTCTCCGGTTGTTGCTGGATAGAAGTGGGAAGAAAAATTTACTCCCTCAACTCTGTGGATGAACTAAATCCCCAAATCGAGCAGATCCATGCTTTTTTGGTAAAGTTATCCGAGGAGATGATGGACATGGGGTACATGCCTGAGACAAAAGTTGTTCTTTACGACCTTGATGTTGAGGAAAAGCAACGAATCGTGTTGGGGCATAGTGAAAAATTAGCTGTTGCATTCGGTTTGATAAATTGCAGCAAAGGAGAAACAATCAGGATTAGCAAGAACTTGAGGTTGTGCGAGGACTGCCACTCCTTCACTAAGTTCATCTCTAAGTTTGCGCGGCGAGAAATTTTGGTTCGCGACATTAATCGCTTCCACCATTTCAAGGACGGGGAGTGCTCGTGCCGGGATTATTGGTGATAACTAATTAATTCATGTGCTGCTGGACCTCCTCTTCTCAAGTTAGTGTTTACTTGCTTTCTGAAAACTATTTGTAGCTTAGCTTGGTCCCAATACTGGTTTCATGTAATTACACTGGAATTTATTTATTTATAGGACAACAAATAAATACCTTCATTTCATAGTTTGCTGTCCGTTGTCGGAAACACTAATGGTCATAAGTTCAACCTCTACCGTTAGTCATGCCCTTACGGACTATAATTTAATTGGTTCTTAATTTAAGAAAATGTAATCAATTACCCTATGGAGCATTACTTGATATTTTTAATAACAGGATCATAAGAAGATTATTTCAATTCAGCAGCATGTTGAATGATTGAAATTAATCTATATATTTATATTAATTATATTATTTAAGAATGATTAAGTTTTAAGTATTCAAAAAACTGCTGAATTAAAATAATCAGTATTTGATCCCAACCGTTTTAATTAAAATAAGTCTAATTACTTTCTCGGAATTTTTTATCCAATTAATTGAATTAAAAAAATTCTTCGTATGAGAGAACGAATAAAAAAAATTGATAAAAGTAATATATTCTCAAATACCAAATTCAGAAAAAAATAAATAAATAAATAAAATTGGTGGATATCTATTTCTTAGGGTATTTTTTTCAATTTATTTTTTTTAACAATATTTATAAATTATTGACTACATAATTTAATTGATGGAAAATAGGTGTGTTCTTTTTGTGGAAAAAAAAAAAGGCAGATACATGTTTTTTAAAAAAATATATATTATACATATTTATTATTTTTTATACTTCATTTCATTTGTATCAAATCAAAGGGTTTTTAAGAATTTTATAATAGATTAAAAAATTATAATATTTTATTAGTTAGTAAAAGTTTTTGCTTTGACTTTATGTATAAAGTAATTGTCATTGTAATGGGTTTTTTGTATATTCTGATAGTAGTATATGATTATTTTTTCTAAAATATGAAAGAGATATTTTGAAGGGACATAAACAAAAATGGTAAAAATGGTAGTTTGAATTAGGACAGATGGAGTATTATCTATATAATTATCTATACTTCACATAAAAAAAAATATTTCTTGAAATCATTTCACAAAATAAACACATGGCTGGGGCTAAGTGGCTTCCAAACATATTCTTTAAACTAATTATCTAGGTACAAGTATTGGATCAATATAGTGATAAATTCTTGAAATTGACGAGATCGGCTACGAGTGATAATCCCGCAGGCATTTGAATTTTTTGATCTTGAACGTCTGTATCAAAGGTAAATCCATCATCAACTAAGTATTGTTCTCCCTTATCAAGTCCATCTCATCATTCATTGTTTTTTTTTGCCTACAAGAGAGCATCATGAGACTTTATTGCTTCTTCAAAGTTGATAGGATTGTCTCCTAAATTGTGACAATAATGTTGAAGAGACCCAATCTTATAATCCATTCCTTCAACTACATAGAGGTGAAGATGGAGACCAAAGAACTTAGTCCTTCTTAATCTTATTCTTCTTCTAATCTTAACCGGTGGTGTCCTAAGCTTCTCTTTGGATTCCACCTTAGACCATTTATTCGTTATCTTCTATATTAACCTCTATAGGATAATGAACTTTATAGTCTTTGTTTGCATCTTGCCTAATGTGCTTTCAAGTAGAAGACGATCTTAATGTATCAAGGTCAAATGGTTCTAATAAAAAATGATAAGTCATTAGGCTATTTTAAATATAGACAGTAAGCTTTCGATTTCGCAACATGTCCAATAAAAATCCATTTGATTCCCTTAACACCTAAAGTCTTTCCTTTAGGTTGATAGGTTACGTTGGAGAACTCTTACAATTGCACGATAGAAAATATTATCATTGAGTTCACCATTCGTGTTAGTGTATTATTTTTCCTTTTGGCCACACCATTTTGTAGCGGTGTGTAAAAATCCATTGTCGCATGTAGTACTTCCACATATTGAAATGATAGAGGATCAAAGTATTATCCTCCTTGTTCCATATATAGCATTTTAATAAATGCTTTAAGTTGTAACTCAACTTTGGTTTTTGTAAATGTTAAACATGTCTAATGCCTTATTCTTGGTATGTAACACATATAACAAAATGTAGTTGTGTCATAGATTAGTGTAATGACATACCTTTTATCTCTTAAGGAATGTGTGAAGTGAAAATCACACAAATCGCTATGAATAAGTTCAAGAAGCTTAGATTATTCTAATATCCTATTAGGTTCTTGTGGTTTTTATGATCTTACAAGTTTGAAAGTTGTGTACTGAAATTAAACACATGTGTAATTTTCATCTTAGAAAATTTATGTTGGATAATCGGTTATTTTGCAATCGATTATTTTGTGAGTGAAAATACGACGGGACGGTGTAACAAATTAATTAGATTAATTTGAAATATATGGAGTTTGGTTAATATTTTGGATATTTTGTTTGTCTCGAACAAACCAAATTGTACAACCCCAAATTAAACCCGGGTATATAGCCTAAATCGCAATATTATTTGGATAAAATATTATCCGTTGAATAGATTTATTATAATCTCAGACGGATGGTTTGAAATTAGAATAAATTACAATCGTTTCAAACAGAAGGTTTGAAATTAGAATAAATTACAATCGTCACAAATGGAAAGTTTGTAATTATAATCAATTACGACTGCTTCAAACGGAAGGTTTGAATTTAGAATAAATTACATCGATAATTAAGGTCGTACTTATGATCGTAATTGATCCCCTGCCATTTTGGCCGAGTGGAAACGCCTATATAAAGGGCCTCCCCCCTTTATTCTAAACACCAACACCAACACCAACAATTCTTCCATCTTTTTCTCATCTCTTCTAGCTTTCTGGCAAACTCTCCAGCTTAGTTCCTCTCTCGTTTTTGTTGGCCGGAGCTCCAACGATTAGAGGTGTCACTCTCATTGGAGACGGAAACCGTTTTATCTTTGGGTTAGAACACCAGCCACCGGAGGCACTACCGAGGCGTATCTAATTTTCGGAAAGAGGATCCATCATCGACTCGGTTTCATGGTAGAGTTTATTCTCGCAATACCCATATATTCCAACAATCGAAAATTAAATAATACTTTGCGAGAATGTCAACCTTTACTGAAGTCACAACCGAAGCCACCGCCAGAGTAACTGCCGGAGCCACCGCTGGAATCATCGGAGCCGCCACTGAAAGAGTTGCCGGAATCTCCGGAGCCGCCGCCGGAGGAGTCGCCGCCGCCACCGCCGGAGCATCAGTCAAGGTAGTCGCTCCTCCACTTGGGCCAGTTCCCTTTATGGATAGCCTTATGTTTTTTAGATTTGTCTCAGGGGATGTGGGAGCTTTCCTGGGTTTGTGGCCGCACCTTCTGCTTCATTTGCGGCCTAAACTGTTGGTCCTGGGTTTGGCCCACGGATGATGCCCCATGTACAAGTTCCACAACCATTCACGGGAGTGGACTTTAAGAGGTGGCAGGAGAAGATGCTCTTCTACCTGACTACGATTGGGTTTTCCATTTTCGTGTTGCACGATAGCCCAATCACCCCAGAGCCCGGTGCGGACCAGCAGACGCATACGAATTATGCATCGTGGACACACGGAGACTACATGATAAGAAATACTATATTAGGTAGTCTCTCTAACTCTCTTTATAATGTATATTGCAAAATAAAAAGTGCGAAAGAGTTGTGGGATGCCTTTGAGAAAAAATATAAGTCCGAGAATGCCGGGTCTAAAATGTTTGATGTGGCCCGGTTTATGGACTATAAGATGGTAGATAGCAAGTCTGTCGTCAAACAAGTGGAAGAATTTCGACGACCTTGTTGTTTTTGTGTACAAAACAAATAATGTGGAAAGTCCGAGAGCTTGGTATATTGACACTGGAGCAACCTGCCATGTTTGCTCTGACAAAACAAACTTCTCGACCTACAAGGAGATCAAAGGGAGGAAGCTACACATGGGAAATCACGCAACTTCTGAGGTCCAAGGCGTAGGGAACGTGGTGTTGAAGATGACCTCTGGCAAATAACTAACCCTGAAAGATGTCCTGCATGTGCCAGATATTCGGAAAAATCTCGTCTCAGGATCACTACAAGTTAAGAATGGTTTTAAACTTGTTTTTGTAGCAGATAAATTTATATTATCGAAAAACGAGATGTTCCTAGCTAGGGTTATCTTACAAATGGCCTGTTCAAATTGAATGTAATGGCCGTGCGCCGAGCACCACCTACTGATAATAAAAATGTTGCTTCTTCTTCGTACCTAATTGAGTGTTCTGATTTATGGCATTGTAGATTAGGTCATGTAAACTTAAATGCTATAAAAAGATTAGTAAATATGAATTTACTAAATATAAAATAGGTGAACACTCAAAACAAATGTGAAGTTTGTGTGGAGGCCAAAATGGCAAAATTACCCTTCCCGTTTGTCGAATGGAAGACTAAGCCATTAGAGTTAATTCACACCGGATGTATGTGATTTAAAATTTGTGCAAACTAGAGGTGGAAAGAAATATTTCATCACCTTTATCGATGACTGCACAAAGTATTGCTATCTTTACATATTAAGGGAAAAGACCGAAGCAATCGAGACCTTCAAGAACTTCAAAACCAAGGCATAAAATCAATTTGACTGTAAAATCAAGATAGTTCGAAGTGAAAGAGGTGACAAATATGTGGCCCCGTTTGAAGAATTATGTAACGAAAGTGGCATAATTCATCAGACAACTGCTCCATATTCACCTCAATCGAACAGCGTTGCATAACGCACAAATCGAACATTTAAGAAAATAATGAATGCCTTGTTGATAAGTTCAGGACTTCCCCAAAACCTGTGGGGGGAGACGGTACTGACTGCAAATTATATCATGAACAAGATTCCACTTAAGAGTAAGGATGCCACCCCTTACGAACTATGGAAAAACAAAAAACTCATATAAAAATATTTCAAAGTGTGGGGATGCCTAGCAAAAGTGGAAGTTCTGCCTTCAAAACAAGTTGCTATCGGCCCCAAAAAGGTAAATTGCATCTTTATCGGATACGCACTAAAAAGTAGTGTTTTTCGTTTCATAGTTCACAAATCGGAAATCCCTGGGATGACCGAGGGAACTACGATAGAATCAAAGAATGCCACATTCTTTGAAAATATCTACTCTTATAAGGAAATGATGCAATCCAACCTAAAATCCGTAGATGAAGAACTATGGGGCGTAAAAAGACAAATGGCCAATAGCCCTGATCAAGAGGTTTCAGAGCCTAGGCGTAGCAAAAGGACAAGGGTCGAGAAAACCTTTGGTCCAGATTTTATT